CTGCAAACACAGAGGTCACAGTATTGCCAAGAGTATTTGAAATAAAATACCCAACACTTAGACACACCCTGGCTAAGTTACTGAACTTCAAAGAACAAAGGAAGAACTTATCAGGCATCTAAACAGAAAGGAAAAGTTAGTATGAGAGTAAAATATCAGCTTAGGTGCCAATATTTAATGACAGAAGGCAATGGAGAAATGTATGTAAAGTTCTTAAGAAAAGAACATAATGACCTAAGGATATTCTACCCAACCAATTCGTTGCTCATCTACAAAGGCAACAGGCACATATCCTCATATATGAGAGAACTTAAACATATAGCATATAGGAAAGTTTCTTGAAAAGTTTTGAGTTTTCTGTTTGCTTTTAGTAAAGAAAACCAGACAATTCATAAATGGGTCAAAAAGTAAGCATGGTCAAAAGATGATGAATCATTTCAAGTTGAGGTTGAAATTCTAAAATCCTGTTGATTAAATTACAGGACAAACGTAACTTTTTATTCCCGACAATGCAAAAATAATAATGTAACTAACACATATAAGAGAGAAAGTTACTGAACTTGTGGGCTCAGGTGGATTCAAGAAAAGTAGTTTCAGCCCAACCAGTGTGGCTCCGTGGTTGAGCAATGACCTATGAACCAGGAGGTCACTCTTCAATTCCTGGTCAGAGCACATGCCAGGATTGAGAGCTCAATCCCCAATGTACTGCTTGCAGGAGGTAGCTAATCAATAATTCTCTCTCATCATTGATGTTTCTATTTCTCTCTTCCTCTTCCTTCCTCTCTGAAATTAACCAAAAAATGTATATTTTTTAAAAAGAAAAGTAGTTTCTCATGAAATCAAGGAAGTGCCAAGAAACTCCCAAATTGCTATGTAGAGTCCTTTGGAGCTATATGGGGTGAAAGCAAGCTCAAGAGACAAGAGCAGAAATGCAGGTAGAAAAGTCCAAATTTAACAAGAGAACCTGGAGGGATGTTCAGTATTTTCAAACTGTCAACTACATGAGATTACAGAGGTCTCTATTGTGTAGAGACCTCTGCCCAAACAAGGACTGTAAGCATACTTCACTTAGTTGTGTAAATCAGAGAAATGTGGAAGAGCTGTACAACTGGGATGACGATGAAGACACTGCATATTTTAAAAGAAGTTTTGCCTTCTGACCTTCAACTAGTGGCATCTAAGAACTGCTATAAGTAATGCTAGTATACTTCATCAATACAGGGTTAGATACCCAAATGAATGAACAGTCTGCCCCAGCCCACCTGGAAACCTGTTAAGTGACATTAAATCTGGGTCTATTGCTTCAAGAGGGACTAACTATGGTCTGCAGATCAGCTTAACGATATTGGATTCTTGAGTCTAGTGACAGCACCATGAGAATATGACAGCACCAAAAAGCCATCTGTGTCTTCCAAGCTGACTACTAAAACCATCAATGGATCAGAATCCAACTTCCTACATCAGTGTGATGCAATCTTTATCTTTCATCTTGTTATAACACTTAGCTTCCTCCTAAAAGTTTATGAATTGGTTTCGAGGGAATATTTCCAGACCTATGTCCCTTTGAAACAACTCTTCTCTTCTTCATTTGTAATTGCGTCTTTTGGGAAAACACATTTGCCAATTCCTGCTAGAAAAGACTCCCCTGGAGTGACATCTATCATTTACCCTTTCGTCATTATACTTCAGGGATACCTAACCTTGCAGATCATGCCTCCTTCTTTGCTAAACAGGAACCCTGAGAACAATCCATCTTGGCACAAATAGGTCACCTGCCCGTTCCCAAACGCCACATGATACATGCCAGGCTTGTGAATTAAAAGCCATTATTTTTAAATCATCTTATAAATCCCTCCACTTTTTATTTGTTCAAAAGAGTTGGCACCCATGTTACTGCACTGTTATAATTTTAGGGTAAAAAAGGTATAAGAAGTATTTCTGACAAGGAGGAAGCATTGTCCTTGGTTAAAACATCAAGTTATGTTAATTAATAGTTTCTGCCTCCTAAATTGTACCGTGTAGCTGACTTTACTTCTATGTCTTCTCCTGTGTGCATCTCTGGGAGGCTGCATGGCAGAGTGCACAGGTGCACTGATTCTGGGACGGCAGTTCTGGGTTTGACCCCTAGTTCTGCTGCTCATGAGCTATATGCGTCCTCCAACAACTCACTTAACCTCTTTGTGCCTCAGTCTCATCATCTATAAAATGGGGTGATTCTTAACACCTGAGGTGGTTGTGAGCAATAAAGGATTTAATATTTGTATAGCATTTAGAACAGCATTAAGCATCTTGCGAGGATTCTATTTTGGCAAAAGACTTTTTTTTTGTTGTTTTCTGAACACATTTACTTTTCAAACATTTTGTGATTTGGGGGGTTTTCTGGTTCCCAGAACATATTAACATATTGAGAGGCATCAAAGCTTTTTAGGAACCAAGTGTTTACTTGTTTACTCAAAACACCAGGAGTGGAATGGCTTTATGTTAAATCCAGAATCTACCTTGAAAAAATATCCTCAAGACTTTATTCATTTCATAAATAATGTATTTTATTTTATTGCATATGGCTATTGAGAGCATCCATGATCAATACAGACTAAATACAATGCACTATTCTAGTTCCACTATTCTTGTCTCCAGCAGCATCACATTGACCCTTATATACAGCGTGTACAGTGGAAGACAGAGCAAGATTAGTTAAGTCTTTTGTCATATCACAATAGCAAGAAATATATTTAACATCTTGAAATCCAAGAACAAATACGTACCCAAAAAAGAAAACACTGTTTAATAACTGTTAAAGTTTATATAGCAAAAAATATTTTAAATTTAAGGTAAGTCAGGCAAAATGTACAAAGACCCCAATATACATTGTGAAGTTTTAGCAAACATAACATTTATACATTTTGGTTCCATTCTGTAAACTAAATTAAAAATGTAAATATTGCATATGCCTTTTTTGAAATGTACAGGATAGAGGAAAATTTAGAATACTACTGACGTTTCATTTGCTAGATTGAAGTTGCAGTATGAACATGAACCATTGGTATAGTGGCATGACTACTCTAAGTATAGAGAGCTACTTAAATACCGTCATACACTGTATTAAGTAGGGTCCATATTCAGTCCTACGTACCTGGAGGAGTCACATAGCAAATACCACCCGAGTCCTAGTCCCAAGACTAAATCAAAACTTTAGGACATTTTATACATTTTTTTTATAAAGTATGCCTATTATACACTGAAGTTGACCTTCCAACTAACGTCGTATGGTCTATGCACTGCTGTGATGGGTGATTTTAGAAAAGTAAAACTTTTAGAAAATGTCCCGGGGACCACTTTACATTCAACTTTGTCTTGCAATACAATCCTCTGTTCTAAAAGTTCAGCACGGAAGCAGGAAGACGTTTGCATTGCCATTAAATATATTCTTAAGACATTGAATTTTTTGGTCTTCCTCTTTAAAAAGCCTCATTTTATTAATGCATTATCCTATAGCGATATATATTTATATATTTATATATATAATTTTTTCTCCAAGAAAAAAAAAACAGGAAAAAAAAAAACCAACAACACAAGTTCACACCTCCAATGAACTAGTGTAACCTCTTCAGGACTATCAGAGAAGATAGGCACTGGGGATGCACCCATGGGAGAAAAAGGTCTAGAGCCCTCCACCAAGTGTCAAGGGAGCAGCGAGATGATGTGACATTCTGCTGGTCAAGGGCAGCAGTGTTAGGCGACACCTGTGATAATCGACACAACACTGGTATTTTCAGAACACTGGAAACGTAAGAGTAGTCTTGTCAGGAGGTTTTCAACACGTGACATGTAGTGTGAGATTGTTTTCCTTATTTTTTTCTTTTCCCATGAACAACAAGAGGGCCCGAAATGCCTCTTGTATCAGTTTCTGTCCTTCACTCCCCCCTCCCGGTTTTTTTTTGTTGTACTGTTGTTCAGGGAAGCCTCGTTGGCCCACACCATAGCATCGTAGTCAAGATAATAAATACATTTTTAAAAACTCTGCTAAACCTGTGACCACCCTTGAATTGCTAGCATGCCTAGGTGATCTTTTTGGTTACAGAAATGCAAGCTCAGGATTAAGGACAGCAGAGACATTTGAGCTTGTCGATAGGATCAAAGGCTTTTGCAATCTGAAGTACCTACATACACATCTACATGGAGAAGATTCAACACGCCCGTTAAAAAGAGATAGTCAGCCCCTTCCCCAACACCTCCCCTCCCACCCCCAATACCCAATACAGTTGATGATTTTCAAAAGTAGGCTGCTTCAGTTACATATAATTATTATTTATTCATCCATCTTCAAAGTCCAATCACACATTTCATTCCCATAGAGAAATGTCAGTCCCACACTGGGCTCTGTCTGTTGAGTAAACACGCAGGAACCTGGATTGGAGTCCGAAAGCAGCTGTGTACTGGGACCAGTTGAATAAGGCTGATGACCACACGTGCGCCGCATTCAGCAGAGATACACGGAGGTCCTGCCGGCCCCCAACCCCGCAAATCCGGCTTCACCTAGAACTGAGGTAGGACTGTGGTAGTTTTGAGTGTATGCCAGTAAATACCAGATTTTACCACTTTTATGGGTATTGGTAGAATCTCCTAGCATGCTGAGGGACAATTTGGCTTGGCCAAAATGAACCTAAGAAGAAAATTAAGACACTGGCCACAATTTAAAAAGGCCAACGAAAACACCCAATTTTCTTGAGAATTACACTTCTTCGGTAAATTGTGTTAAAACAACAAAACACAACACAAACAGCATAAGGATGAATGCCCCCTGTGGGAACCAGTGAGGGAGGCGGCTGTTCTTGCCTTGTTGATTTCTTGTCTAGGACAGCCACAGATGTTTTAAAATAAAGTCATTGCTCAGATACAAAAGAACAATTGTAAGCAGCTTCAAATGTTTATAAAACGCTGAGCCTCTTCTTCTTCATGTGATTCTGTGTGATGTTGTGGTGATGAAGCCAGGCAGGTCTTCACTCTGAAAAGACAAGAAGTCCGTCAGTTAGTGATTGTCAGGAGAACAAGATGATCCTTAGAGGGAGAGAAAGACCCTTCTTAACCAGCCTGTCTAATCTGTGAATTTCATAAAACGATGCACTTTGGGAAGCAAACATCTATGCAATTCCCTCTTCCAGAAACAAGTTTGATGGGTAGCATAGCACTCCTATTTGGTTTCCCTGGAGGCAGAACTATTAGGTTTAGAGTAAGCTGTGAGGTCAATGGAAGAAAACTATTCACACGTGCTGATGTGAGTCATTCCTTTGAGTGAGACATAGAGGCGACCCAACAAAGGCCCTCTAACTGCCCCTCTAGATTGTTTGAGGGGGAAGACCCACTGCCTTCCTGACAGGGCTGCTGAGAAGGCGAGAAAACACAGCACATGTTCAAGTACTAATACACTATAAGCTACACCGATTGCCCAACTGCCCAAACTGTGTATCATAGTAAGAAAGAGGGAGAAGTAATGAGTCCTGCTCTCAGAAAAGCCTTCCAATTGGATCACCTACCCTATTCCTGAAACAACCCAAGATTTCAAAAGCTCCTGCAATGATGCACTTGTTACATAGTAACTCTTCATCCACCCAACTCTCCATGTTCCAGGTTAACTGATTTTCTTGCTGAACGTGGAGGGGACATGGCATTGGACCCTAACCAGTCATCGTTGCTACTGCCCTTCCAGACTAAAGACTTCAACCTTTTTCCAGTTTCCAACATTTACAGCATATTCTTACTGGAGTTGTTCCTTAAGGAACAGACTATGAGTTCACAGCATAGCACATTTCATAACCTGCATTTCTCATCATTTAGAATTCTGATCCTAGACACCCACCACACTCTCTGGTTTACTTCTTTGTGAATCTCATTCTTCTCTGTTCATTTTGAGTACAGAGGATCAATGCCAACAAGTAATTACCAGCGTGGCCCTAACTGGTTTGGCTCAGTGAATAGAGCATCGGCCTGTGGACTGAAAGGTCCCAGGTTCGATTCTGGGCAAGGGCATGTACCTTGGGTTTTGGGCACATTCCCCAATAGGGGTGTGCAGGAGGCAGCTGATGGATGTTTCTCTCCCATCAATGTTTCAACTCTCTATCCCTCTCGCTTCCTCTCTGTAAAAAATCAATAAAATACATTTAAAAAAAATTTTCCAGTGTGTCCCACAATGGGGAGTGCATGTGTGAAACCTCCCGGGCTCTGCACGCCAGGCAGACAGTCCCCTGGTACAAACTGAAAGTGCTGACTGTATCGTGTGGCCAGAAAAACAAAAGCCTGTACAGACAGGGTGCTGTCAACCTAGAAGGAAATACTGGATCTTTTCATGACTGTTTTGATTTTTTTATAGAGAGAAATGGACAGGCATAGAGAGTTGGAAATATTGATGAGAGAGAAACATCGATCAGCCGCCTCCTGCACACCTAACTGTTTTTAAATTGTCCCTGCAAGGAGGCTGTGCTAAGTGTGTCTTATTATTTTTAAAAAGCGTTACTTAGGTCCTTCCAAAAAATATAATAGGCAAACTGTTCTACAAACGAAACCTAATGGAAAACAGGACCCAAACTGTCCTTGGAAGGAAAGATGTCAGTGACCTCCAGCTATTTCACCCATTATCGTTAAGACTTCCGTTCATGCCCCTTAAAAGCAGGCGCCTGCTAAAATGTACCTGGATTTGCCTCTCGTCCTAAAATGACTGCATTTTGTCACTCAAGCCTTGATTTTGAGAAGTATCCCACCGCCACCCCAGAGTAGTTAATCCAGACCCTATGGATCCACTTGACGAAAGATTTCTATTCATGGTTTATTTTTACACTAATGATACAATTATCATGACCTTAATTTCTATGCATTAAGCTTATGAAAAGAGTTGATAATGGCCAGGAAATAATTCATTCATGCTTTTATTCACAAAATAACCTCTCAAAAGAAATTCTAGTTTGGCGCAGGGCCTAAGATACATGGGATATGCCCGAGTGAGAGAGTCCTATCAGAGCGGGAGCCCCACGGCAGCCCTTCTCTTGGGAGGGAGTGAAAGCAGGCCTTTAAAACGAGTGCAGCACTCTGGAAATGCCTGGACTGCAGAGGACTGCCAGCCTGCAGTTACCAGCAAAGTAGCAAGCTATTCCAAAAGCACAGCAGAAGCGAGGGCTGTCGGGAACCCAGGGATACAATTTCATGTTGGGACAGTAAGGAACCCAGTTTCCCAGGAGGACGAGCTGCCCTAGTCCTCTGCAGAAAGGAAGGGGCAGGGAGAGCCACTGATGACTGAGTGCACAGGCTCACGCATGCATGTACTGTCGCAGGAGGAAGAATCTGTTCATGGCACCTGAGATAGGAGCGAGCAGGCTCAGGCCAGAGGACCAGAAGGAGGATGGCCACCAGCTCATCTTGGGCATGAGGTGTGTAGTGCTTCCAGACACTTTTGAATATAGAGATGTGCACTAGAGCAAAGACCACATGGATGCAACCTGTCTCCTACTGGGATACAGACCAACTGCTTTCCCTGGACGCCTCCTATCACTGCCAAGGAAAAGAATGAAGATGGTGGGTCTTCTCATGGCTCATGGAACCTCAGTCCGTGCCACTTCAGCAACCTGCCCCTGAAACATCTGTGGCTTACCAGCAATTCCCTGTACATCCTCCCCCACAGGAAGTACCCACAGCAAACATAAATAGAGCTAGCCATCAAAAGCAATCCTTGCTGAGATGCAAAAGAAGGAAAAGGCTGTGGATACCTCCACATCGGAGTGAGATGACTATTACTTGCTGAGCAAAAGGATTCTGACAAAATCTACAGAAGGTAAATACTCATGAAGAATGCACAGAGCAAAAAGGGATCTGTTTTAGAAACCTACCTACAATTTCTTAATGTTATGGAAAGAAAGCTGGAGATAGAAGAAAAGTGCCTCAACTGAGATCTAAAACACCCGTTTCCAATATGGGTGGGGTGTAAATCTCTGGTGCACATGCCAGCACTGGCTCTGACCTAGGGCCACAGGAGGGAACCAGCCAAAGGAACAAGTGGTGTGGGAAGTACTCAGGAAAGAAGCCAGGGCTAAAAGCATTAGCATCAAACCAGGTCTGAAGGCCACCTGGAAATCCTTAAGTGTCATTCCCTCATCCACAGGAAGAAGAGGAGAGGCAGGAACTGGAATCTAGGAATGCGAGCACACTTTCGGCCTTTTTATTTACCTACTTTTAAATTAAGTTATCCCTCCCCTTGCAAATTAATCTGGTTCTTCCAGAGGAGGAAATAAAATGTCTGCTAACACTACTACTGACCTGATATATTCAACTTCCAGGGAGGGCTTCCTAATGATGAGATTCAGCAAAATTTTATTTATTTATTATCTATATTAATTCTAGTAGAAGCAAAGAACAAATGATTAATTTTAGGATCACTGCACACTGAATATTCATTAAGATGGGAGACACTCTTGGAACACATTAGGTGCAAACGCAAAACAAAAGAGAATATAGCAAGAAGCATGTGTTGGTCATGAATGCAATTACAGAACAACCTGCACCGATTCTGCTCTCGGAGGCAACGCATCTAAAAATAAACTTATTGATACTCATTGAATCTGTCATATAATTACACACTGTGCTATTCTGCAGCTTAGACCTTGGTCTGTCCAGAATCCCATCCACAGGAGCATTGATCTAGAGTTACTGGATTCAAAACAGAACTTTCAGCAAAAAGATTAAAGTTGCTCCATATGACAGGTCATGCAGGCTAGCTAGTTCCCATATTTTATTTTTCTGCTCTGTCACATAGGACAAATGATGTTCATATGAGTGTAGTCCCAGGTGCCAGTTAATTCCCTGGAGACTAGTAATAATTCCACTCCATTTCTAAAATATTGAAGAGCAATCAGGATGCAAATGACAGGAGTAAAAGGTGGGGTCTAGTAAAGACCAAACATTCAATCTGCCCTATTTTATAAGATAGATAGATAGATAGATAGATAGATAGATAGATAGACAGACAGACAGACAGACAGATAACTGAAAAACTTTGCCATTAAAACAAGTGGGAAAGCTCTCTTTCCCCAGATGGCACAAAGGTTAAAATAACTAACATGCCACGGCACCTGTGCGCTGGGCTCCATGATTTCAGTCTTGTTAGTGGAAGATATATTGAAACATCAGGTCTAGAATGTAGAGCTCTCTGGAGGGCTCCATATACAGCTCCATGATACTATTCAATGTAGGGCTCCATACTCAGCACCGTGGGACTCCATACACAGTTCTATGTAGGGCTCCATAAACAGTTCATAGAGGGCCCTATACACAGCTCCATGGAAGACTCCATACAGTTCTATGTAGGGCTCCATCTATAGCTCCATGTAGAGCTCCACATATAGCTCCATGTAGGGCTCCACATATAGTCCCATGTAAGGCTCCATGTAGGCCCCATATGGAGCTCAGTGCAGAGTTTCATGTGCAGCCCATGCAGACAATCCCATGGAGGGTTCCAAGGCACTGATGAAGGGAACAGAGCCTCACTGGCCTCACAGTAAGCAACACTGGACCAAACAGAGTACAGTCCATTTAGTAGCTAACATTTTTAGACATATCTGAATTAAGAGTTCTACAGGCATGCTCTGCATGACAAAATGAAAAAAAAATATATTCTTAAAAATAAAAATTGATATTTTGGTAGCAACTATGATTAAGAAATAAACTCTCCGGTGAGCCCACACATGACCTTAAGGCCCATTCAGATCTTTTGTGTTAAATATAGAATTATGGAGGGAAAAATAAACTTTTCAGTTAAATGATAAATTCCTAGAAAAATATACCTGATAATTCAGTATCTCCACACTTTACTGAAAGCAAAACACTCTTAGAATATACAAGCAAAAAAAAAAAAAAAAAAAAAAAAAAAGCTAAGGTTGGGTGTGATAACGAACAAGCCAGAGATTCTAAGAAAAACGGTTACTGGAACCTTTCTTTTATATTGAAAAAAAAATCACCTAAAAG